CTTTCTGGAAAAGGCAAATATTTGCTAAATCGGTGGTTGTCGGAAGCAGAAGTGTAGGGAGGGGACTGACTACAAAGTATTCCCAGGGATTTTTTTTTAACATTGTATTGTGTTTCAGGTGAAAGTGCACACAGCAAATTAGTTTCCTCTTCAATAATGCACGCACAGATTACTCTGAGCCATTGGCTGCTAACCCTGCAGTGTGTCGGCGCTCTCCCTCTTGCATCCTGTTTTGCCAGCGTGTCCCCCCAACCCCATTGCTCACCTTCTTATCTTTGAGTTTGGGCAAATGTAAGAGGCACACACTTTATGGGTGTGACTGTTGGCTTTATAGACCCATCTAGTATTTGGTTGAAAGGTGACTTCCAGGAGGGAAACTTCAGTTCCAGGTCAAAAAAGGTGTCTTAGGGCAACGGTCTCCAGAATGCTTCCTGTCTTGATCAGTTCCGTAAGTCTGGTCCTTTTTTTTCTTTCTTTCAAGTCTGGTCCTTTTTTATGAATTTGAGTCTGATTCTATATTTTCCTCACATTCTAATTGGGACCTTCTTAGTATGAGTCAGAATGGGCCCCATGACAGTGAGCTTGTTTGGATTAGGACCCTGGTTACAGCAGTCCATTGGAGAAGCCCAGAGCCATCCGGTCCTGCTTTCAGGCGAGAGGAGACAGTGGCTCCTCCGTCCCGTGGCCGCTGGGGGAGCTTGAGGATGTTCTTTATCTTGATTTGGAAGTTCACTTGCCCAAATTGAGAACTGCACACCTTAAAAGGGTGAATGAATGCTGCTGGAAGTCAATGATAACCCCCCAAACTCACTTCCATTGAGCCGGTTCAGGGTTATTGTGACCCTGCAGGACAGACTAGACTGCCCCACAGGACGCCCAAGGCTGTGCGTCTCTATGGACGCCGACGGCCACATCTTTCTTCCACAGAGCTGCGGATGGGTTCAAGGCACCGAGCTTTGGGTGTGGAAGCTGAGCACTTCAACCACTGCACCACCAGGGCTCACCGTCTGGACACCTGGCTTTTGAAAAACAAGGAACTAAGGATGGTCTCTAGGGGGGACACGATGAACCACAGACTGGGTCTGAGTAGAGATAAGCAATGTTATTGAAACAAAGGAAGAATACCAGGGCAGTAGCAGTGACTTCATTCATCCGCTCAACAAATGATTTCTTACTCACTTCTTGGGGTCAGATGCCCTGGTGGAACGTAGCTGGTGATACATTGAGCTGCTAACTGCAGAGTCAGCAGTTCAAACCCACCATCTGCTCTGAGGAGGAAGATGAGGCTTTCTGCTCTCTTAAAGGTTGACAGCCTCGGAAATGCTAGGGAGCAGTTCTACGGCGCCCTATCGGTCGTGGTGAGTAGAAATCCACTTGATGGCAGTGAGATTGTTCTGTGGGCCAGGCAGTGCCCTACAATGAGGGCTACGGCAATAAACGAACCAGACAAGGCCCTGCTCTCCCAGAGCTAGCGTCTAGGGAGGAGAAGGCGATAAGCAAGTAAACAAACAAAAAATGTATGGAGAAGAATCATGTTGCAAGGATATGTTCATGTTATCTAATTGATTTAAACATCTTGCATAGGAAGCAAATTAGTGTAAAACAAATAGTGACGTGTGTGTACATGTTTTCAAGTTTTAGTGATTTTATATATGTATAGACATCCACGCCCATATACCTCACCATAATATAATGAATATTTTTTACTGAGTGGCAGGATTAGGAGTCACTTATTTTACTCTTTGTGTTTTTACAGTACTTCCCAAATTCTCAACAAACAGCATATGTTACTTTTCATTGGAATATTGCACTGGGTTTTCAGTGAAAGCTAAGCAGAGGGAGGAATGATACTTCTGCACGAGTCCCAGGCGTACAGATGTCTGGGAGAACGTCCTCCAAACAGTCGTAGGTGGTAGGATGGCGCGCGGGTGAGTGGTACCCCTTCACTGGGTTTTTCTGCATTGTTGAAATCATTTGTAATGGAGTTCTATTTTTCAAAAATAAGTAAGAAAGCGACTTTTGAACAAAAGCATAGATTTGGGAGTGCTTTGTTTTGATAAGGGCTTAGCAAGCAAAGCCGGAAAAAGCAAATCGCGTTAGTCTCAACGTCAGTTTACTTTATAGAACGTTTCCCTTCTCTGCCTGGAACACGGCACAGGTGATTTCTGCGAACAATCTGACGAATGAGCATAAACTCCACCTGATTCAATGGGAAAGGATCATGGACTGATTCATAACTCTACCAAACTAGGATTGGGGAGCCTTTATGACTATAAAGTAACCCATAACATCCCCTCAACGATCAACCGTGAACAACTACTCTAGGGAAAGTATCATGGCACCGGTGAGTCAAAAAGTATTGTTACCAAAAATCATAGTTAGCTTCATAGAAACTTGTATCAAACAAACAGAAAGAAAACCCCAAACGTGAGCTGTTGCTTTCTTGGCCCATCCTCCATCTAGGTCTATCCTTTTCTGCAGGTGATGGGGTCACCTCTCTGACCCTTTCCCAACCTGCACCATGGCACTTTGGAAACCCTCCTGGGACGGTGTTCCTTTGGAATGTCCTTTGAGTTTGCAAAACAAAAAGAAGACCGAAGAGGCAAGATTAGGGCTGTGGGTGGCTGTGGGAAGGATTCCCAACAAAATTCTTGTAGAGGCAGCCCCTGCAACCGTCAACAAATGAGCAGGTGTAGTGTTATGATGCGGGAAGAAAAAAAGAACATTCCTTGGGTCAACGTTCCTGGTCTTTTTTCTCGCAAGGCAGTTTTCAGTTTTCTTAAAACATCTTCCTAAGAAGCCGCTGTGATCATCCTGTGTCCTTAAGTGAGCCTATCAGGATTACTCCTGGCCATAACTTCCTGAGCTGACCTCTCCGTCTAGCGCTTAGCTGGCCCGAGAGGTCCCCTTAGACATCACTGCTTTGAGTGGACTTTTTTTTTTTTTTAAAGGCACTCTAACGAGACGAAGACAAGCATCTCCTTGAGAGAACGTGTCTGCAGCCATCCACTTGATCACACAGACACGTGGAAACACGTTTTGTTTGGAATAAATCCATGTATGTAGGAGCTGGAAGCTGAGGGCGATACTTTCCCACTTGCCCTGCTATATCCAAAGTAGACCCGCTAGTTCAAGGAAGTAGGAAAGAACGCACAGAGGACCAGAGTCCCATCCGGCTACCTCGCCTTGTGTGGGAGAGCTCCTTTCTTAATTTTTTTATTCCTGATCTAAGGAGTCTTCCAACTTGTAGCGTGCTCAGAAAAGCTCGGCAGAAAGTTACTCTTCCCTCTGTCCAGGACTAAATTACAAGAAGATAAAAATGGAGAGTCTTTCAGACTCTTACCTTTTTTCCACCTCCAAGAGAAAGTTTTCACTGTTGCCCAACTGACTGAAATGCAGCTTGGCGGCTTTTCGCTCGCTGTCTCGAACGGTTCGATCGTCTGTGGGCAAAACACCGGGCTCTGAGCATGCTGCTCTTCTGGGAGTCCAGAGTCGGGGGTCAGAAAGCCACAATCACACAGGGAAAACAAATGTCCTCTTTAGGAGAGACAGGTTACCAGGGAATGCGATTATGTTGTCACTAGAGCAGACAGTCACTCAGGGAAACTCCAGGGCACGCCATAGCAACAGCGGCCACTGAGGTGTCCCTCCTTCAGGAAAACAAACACCCCAACTGGGCTGGAGGCAAGGCTGAAGGTGACAGCATTTTCTGAAGCAGTCTACTTAGCGTCCCTGGATTGCTGCTGGGACAAGAATGCTCCCCCCCCCCAAAAAAAAAATCAACCCTCTGCCACTGAGTCACTTCTGACCCACAGCGACCGTGTGGAACAACTCCATAGGATTTCCACTGCTGCAAATCTTTACGGAAGCAGGCTGCCTCATCTCCCTCCCACTGGCCTTGAGCTTAGCAGCCCAGGCCCTTGCTCCAGGATGCTTAAAACAAACTAACAACAACAGCAACACGTTTCCCCGGGGAATCTGAAACAGAATTCTGCATTTTCAACAAATGATAAGGAAGTCTAAGCCAGCTCATTTGGGGGACTATTTCTCCGTCCCTTGGCAACTGATTCCCCCAAGAGTTCTACAACACACTTGCCAAGTTAGGACACCTGGAAAAATCAACCTCAACCTGGAAGCATTTGCTTGGGGAGGAGGTGCTTCAGGAAGTGGTCGACTGAAGAGCGCTACAGCTGGAAGGAACTGATAAAATCGTAGACGATCATTTCGTAAACCAAACAAGACTCATTCATCATCTATCCCGGCAGCACAGACAAGTTACATAAGTACTGGGGAATGAGTGAGCATCGCCCCCACCGTCGGCGCCCACTCTGGGTCAGCATCCAGACAGGTTAGGAGGCGGCGGATTTAAGTAAGACTCCATGGAGGCAGGACTGGGGGTGGGTGGGGGTGGGGGAAGGTCTCACCCAGTTTCTCCAGAGTCTGCAGCGTATACACAGCAAAGAGCCTGTAGTCTGTATCTTTCCTGACAACAGGGTTGAGCCTCAAATCCAGTTCTCTGAGGAAGGGTAAAGGCTGGAGGCGGGACACCTCCACTAACGAAGGGATGTTGTTATAATATAAATTCAGGTCTTGGAGGGAACATAAGTACTGGATGCCCTGCAAGGAAAAGGTCACATGATAGCAGGAAGGACGAGAACGCTCACAGATGGAAGCTTATCTTTAACTCTCTGTCCTGCAACCTGGTCGCCCAAGTTGCTCAGGTCCTATGAGAAAAAGAGGGTTGGAGCTCACATCCAGTCACTTGGGAATAAGAACAGGGCACAGGCATTCTAAATATTAACCATTCACATACAGGCTGCTCTGCCTCCTTTACAAAATCTGCTATTCAAATAGCTGCATTCAACACCCGACTTCTCTTGCTCCTAATGCAACCCTTCCGGATGGGAGCCAGGCCCAGGGGACTTCTGTACTTCTCTGATGCTCACCAACAACCTGTCTCTCCACCCAAAGCGCCTCCACTTACTATAGAAAAGAGGTAGGAAGAAGAGCTTGTCTGAAGAAGGAACGTGTGTGTGTGTGTGTTCTTTAAGTCACACTGTATCACCCATGAGGTCAATCCTTGGGGAAACAAATCAGTGGTGTCCCCCAGCTCTCCCGCCTGGCCCAGTTTTGGACCCCTCTTGTCCTGTTTCACCCTTCAGAGTTCCAACCACTGCACAAGCTCCCAGCCTCTGATCAGTTCTCTTTGGTAGAAATACTCCTTGTCCAGGACTCCTTCTGTGGACGAAGCAGCCCTCTGTCTCCATTGAAATGGCAATGGTCCAGCCAGGACAGAGACACTCAGGAGAAGAAGCCACAGAGTTCCACTTCTGCTGATGCTGGCTGTTGAAATTAACTGCTCAGTGCTCATGTATTTGGTTAGTTAGCTGCTCCTACACATCCCTAAAGTTTGGTACAGTATTTAGGGGGGAGGGGGAGAGAGAAATATATATATACATATATATATTCCATTTTTCTATGAACTTTTTGAAGCCCCCTCATATATCTAACTACATATTTCAATTAGTGACAAAATACCATAAAAGGAGCTCCATCTTTGAGGATTATTTCAGGAAAAAATGTCCATCAGGTATTGCTACAACATTTTTATTCTCCCCATTTAAAACGACCCTTCTCTCATTTCAGTAAACTTAGAATACTCAAGAGACATATACAAAACATTTCCAAAACAGAATCCTGTTTTACATTTTGATTCATTCCTTTCCAGCTCTTTCCAATTCCATGAACATGAATATTATTTTTATTTATTTTTAATTATTTTTTTGAATGTGAGTCTTATTAAAGGGTTAGTGGTTAGGATTGTCACCAGAGCTTTTAGATGACCCCCACTAGAACTGCCTCAAACTGTCTACTGCCCCAATTCAAGTCATCCTTTCATTTCTCTCACTGTGAGAGTCAAGGGAATATCTATTCTCCTCGCTCTCCTCCCTTGACATGAATTCATGTGTTTCCCAAAATTACAGTAGCGATAATCATACAACATTCCCTGTGGGGAAATTAAGCAAAGTGGTTCGGAGCTGTCAGAGATGAATATATGCAGATAAATCCTATATACAAAAAGTAGAAAAGGAACACATTTATTGAGTGCTTCCTATAAGCCACCACTGCACTGGAAGTCTTTGAAATTGGCATTTTTGATTATTTTTGCTTGTCCGATTCATCTTCACAATAGTTTCCCACCATATTTACAGAAAATGAAAGACACGGTGGGTAAGAGCAAGTGGTAGCATTGTCCCTTTCCTATTTTAGGCTCTTGGAGGGGGTGCTCAGGCCAGTTCCTGCTCTCTGTTCCACATCCCTTATCCTGGAAATGTTCCTTTTACAAGATCATCATTTTCCTCAGCCTAGAAAAAACCAACAGTTACCCTCTGGACCAGTGTCTCCCTGACCACTGAATCTGAAACAGCTGGGCACATCCTGAGCCCACTCAGGGTCGACCAAAGAGATCAGAATCTCTCTCAGAGTCAGCTCTTATGACCTATATAGCTTTACAAGCTCACCTGGCAAGTTCTTATATACAATTGAACTGTTGCCCTAGGCAGTGATAGCTTGATATAGTTTTCCTTGAATATAATGGAACCCCCCCCCAATATTTTATAATAAAAATTTCCTAACACAGAGCAGAATTGGAAGACCTTTCTTTTTTGGTGACTGGTATGATATTGGTTAATTGTAAGACTTTTATAGTGAAGAATACAATTTTGTTTGGACGCATTTAAAAGGAAAAAGTCCACACTCCGCAGGATGGCAGTACCTAGCTCTTACTTCTTCCCATCCAAAAATAAATAAATTGGGATACCTAAGTGGTCATAGAATATAGAACTTACCTTTAGGCTAGTGATCAAATTCCTTGATAAATCTAAGGATCGGAGATTTTTAAAACTTCTGAAGGCATCACCAATGGAATGGATTTTTCCAGCATAAGATCCCTGCAATGAAAGAGACTCCACCAGTTCTGAAAAGAGATCATCAGCACATAGATTACGCCGTCTGCTTGACTAAACAGCAGGGAAAATAGGCTTTCCTGCCTCCCATCTCCCATCTGTGAAAGGTACTACACCTGAGGCCCAAGACACCAAATCAGGTGTGGTGACATTCTCTGAAAGCCCTCCCACCAAAATTAAAATATGTAATTCAACAATGCCACTGCTAGGATCTAGCCCTGTAGATAATACTCACACAATTTTGCCAGGATAATAGATACCATAAGGATGCCCACTGCAAAGCTATTTTAGGATACCAAAATTAAAGGGGCGGCGGGAACTACCCAAGGGCCTGTCCAAAGAAGAGTAGTCGAGAAGATCTAAATAACTGTGCATTGACACAAAGTTCAGGGTACTAGAAACCCTTGTACAAAAGACTTCACCTCCGGGCATCCATTCCCTCTGAGTGAGATGGGAACGGGAACAGGACTTGCCCTCAAGGTGCTGTAAGGATGACAGGAATACTGAGCAAATGCAAACGGAATGTGATTCCATTGTAGACTTCAGCAGAATAGGCAAATCCAGAGACAGAAAGCAGTGAGTGGTTGCGGGGGAGCTGGTGGGATGGGACTGCCAATGGACATAGGGTTTCCTTTGGGGAGGATGACATGTTAAATTCTCTGGAACCGGAGTGTTATAGAACATTCTGAATGGACTGCATGACTCTGAACGGCACACTTTAAAATGGGAAAAAACAAAAAAACTTGGCCAGATTTGGGGGGCATGTTTTGCAGTGATCTAATACCCTGAAAGTCTGTGCTTCCATAGAACCGCAAAAACAAGACTAAATTCACTGCCCTCAAGCCGATTCTGGATCAGACAGGGTAGAACTGCCCCTGAGGGTTTCCGAAATTGTAATTTTTTTACGGGAGTAGAAAGCCTCGTCTTTCTCTGGGTGGCTGGTTGGTTTCAAACTACTGACCTTGTGGTTAGCAGCCAACACATAACCAGGGTCCCTCATGGAACAAAAGAGAAGGACACTTATGATTCCCATTAGTGGCCTGAAGCATTTCTCATGCCTTTCTCTGTCACCTATAGGTATCAATATTTTTAGAGGTTATACACTGGTTTGAGTGGTCATCAAAGAGAGTGAAAACAGATAGGGAAGAGGTAAAAGTCATGTTGTACATCATAGATACCAGGAAAACAGAATAATCTTCCAATATTAATATACAGGCTTCATAACTTCACGGGGCAAAAAAATGTTTTATTCAGAGATGCAACAGTAAGCAATCTTTCTACAGAAAATCATGTACAGCCTCATGAAAGTTGAACTCATCATTTTTAATAAAGCCTGTTTACATGGACATTGGCATTCCAAATAAATAAAAAAATTTTGAGGAGAGGGAGGCTTCAGGAGTCAGCTTCTTTTAGTGTGATAACAATTTTTCCTTTTATAATAGTGGTCTCATACAGTATTTGTTCTATGAGATTGACTAACTTCACTCAGCATAATATCTTCCAAATTTGTCCATGTCATGAGGTGTTTGAGAGCTGAGTCATTAATCTTTAGAGCTGCATAGTATTCCATTGTGTTCCATTCTTCCACTGATGGCCTTTTGATTGTTTCCATCTCACTATTGTATACTCTGCTGCCATAAACATGAATGTGCATATATCTCCTTGTGTTTTGCCCTGCATTTCTGTAGCGTGTATGCCGAATAAAGAGACTGTTGGTATTTCTAGTCCCATTTGTTTGAGAAAGCACATTTTCAAAGTGCTGCATTCCACAGCGGTTGTACAGTTTTATAGTCCTACCAGCAGTGGATGAAGGTTCCAATCTCTCCACATCCTCTCCAGTAATTTTTTTAACTTTTCTATCAGAGTGAAGTGGTACTTCATGGTCATTTTAATTTGCATTTCTAGAATGGCTAGTGATTGCGAGCATTTCTACACGTTTGCTTGTTGCTCTCCTAGATGTCATCTTGGTGAACTGTTTATTCATGTCGTCGGGCCATTTTTAAATTGATTCGTCTTTTTTTGTTGTTGAGCTGTTGCAATTTTCTATAGATTTTTGAGATTAGCCCTTTTTCCCATAAATTATTGCCAAAATATTTTTTTCCTTAGTGTGTGGGTTCTCTTTTTAATTTTTTGAAGAAGACTTTTGATGCATACTAATGTTGTATTTTTAGGAAGCCTCAGTCCTCTATTTTGTCTTCTGCTGTGTGGGTGTTTTTCATTATGTTTGATAGTATGTGTGTTTTTTGTTTGTTTGATAGTATGTTTATGACTTGCATTAGGGTCCTTCGGTTTGCCCCTGTTTTCTCCTTGATGGTCTTTATCTAGAATTGTCATTTAATTTAAGTCTTTAATCAATCTTGAGTTCATTTTTGCATATAGTGTGAGGTCTGGGTCCTGCTTCATTCTTCCGCAAATGGAAATCCAATTTGCCAGCAACATTTATTGGCGAGACCATCTCTTCCTCATTTAATGTGTTTTGGCCCTTTATAAAAATCAGTTATCTGTAGGTGCATGGTTTTATTTCTGGGTTCTCTATTCTGTTCCAGTGGTCTACATGTCTATTGTTGTGCCAATTCCAAGCTGTTTTGACTACCGTGGCTAAGTAATAGGTTTTAAAATCAGGAAGTGAGAAACTGCCTCACTTGGTTCTTCTTTTTTAGAAGTGCTTTGCATAGTCTGGGTTTCTTTCCTTAACATATAAAGTTAGTGATTAATTTTCCCCCCATTTTTTGATGAATCATGCTGGGATTTGAATCAGAATTGTGTTCCATATGATTTACATATGATGAACATTTTCACAATATTAAATCTTCCTATTCAAGAACATGAAACATTCTCCCAATTATGTAGGTCCCTTAAAGTATTTTGTAATAATGTTTCGCAATTTTCTTTGTACAGTCTTTTGTTCCTCTGGTTAGGTTTAGTCCTAAATATTTAATCTTTTGTGTGGTTATTGTAAATGTTTTCAAAATTTTATTTTCAGAATTCTCTTCTTTGGTATACATGAATCTGGTTTTTTTTAAAATTATTATTGATTTTGTACGCTGACACATTACCAAAATTTTCAATTAGTTCCAGCAATTTTCTTGACCAGTTTTTGGGATTTTCTAGAATCATGCCATCTGCAGAGAGGTTTCACATCTTCTTTGCCAATGTGGATGCCGTTGATTTCTTTATGTTGTGTAATAGCTCTGGCTAAGACATTCAGGACTATATTGAATAAGAGTGGTGATAAAGGGCATCATTGTCTGGTTCCCATTTGCAGAAGGAATACTTTCAGTTTCTCTACATTGAGCAAATTGCTGGCCATTGGTTTTGCATATATAGCCTTCGTTATGTTAATGGATTTACCTTCTATTCTTGTTTGAGTTTTTAAAATTAAAAATGGATGTTGGATTTTTAATATGTTTTTTCTTCAACAACTGATATGATAATATAGTTCTTTTCTTTTATTTATATGGTAGATTGCACTGATTTTCCCCCTAATGTTAAACCAGTCTGCATATCTGATATAAATCCCACTTGATCATGACATGTATTTTAAATGTTTTCTTGAATTTTATTAGCTAGGATTTTGCTTACAATTTTTGCATCTATGTTTATAAGAGACATTGGTCTATAATTTTCTATTCTGGTAATGTCTTTGCCTGGTTTTATTATTTGCTTCATGAGTTTGGAAGTCTGCTATCTTTTTCTATATTCTAGAATAGTTTGTGTATAGACCTAGATGGAGGATATCTCAAGAAACAATAGCTTCATATTTAGATATTTTTGATTTAATAAAAGTTTCTATGATT